TTCCACATACCTACCTCTACGCAGATGATACAACACTGCATGTATCCTCCTCTTCACTTTCAGCTGCATCTGTCACATTGCAGACCCACATCAACAAAGTTGTCAATTGGATGACGCTCTGGAAGCTGAAGCCAAACGCATCTAAAACCGCTATTCTCTGCTTTCCTCCTCGTCCCAATAGTGACTTGTCTGTATTTTAAAAGTCCCTCGCCGGTTTCACGTTCCCTGATGACCGTACCTGTCTCTCAATAGTCGATCAGCACAAACACCTTGGGATTATCCTGGATCATTCGGATCTTCCCAAGGTGTACATTGTACTGTTGAGATACCGAATTCAAATAAATCAATACCATCAGCATCTGTCCTTTGATCCCCACATTACGTGCCTGGAGAAACGTGCAAGTTCTATTGTTGGCTTCCTCTCCTCTCACTTATCTCATTTCCCCCGTGATTGCCGTTTAATGCTGTATAAATGCTATGTTCTGCCTGTATTTGACTTCTGTTCCTCCATTTGGGCTGGCATCGCTGTCTTTGCTATTCCCCGTTTGACGCCCTCTCATACTGTCTATGCTATCGCATCCAGCTGCCCTCTCTCTAACAGGCTCAGACTTTCATCATGTAAACAAATTCATAAAGTCCCCTCTATTTTTGGCATTATAATACACATTGGTCGTTGCTGTCACAGGACCTCAAGACTTGCCAAAGACTTTCCACTTTTGCTACTTTACTTCGCTAGGTATTCACTCAGTGTTCTGGGCCACTGTGTAATTCGTATCTCTTGAGTTATCTTCTTTCTTATACATGTATGTCTACTACTTTTCTTTTGTTGATTTGGCCGTCGCTAGGCCCCGGCGGATAATGCTCGGGAATTAGGCCCATTCTGCTTTTCATTATGCTCGCATTCTGCTCGCAAAACACCCACATTCTGCTCAATTCTGCTCCATGTCAGTGATGACATGTACATTAGAGTATTACTTGAACTTCATTATAGATCAATGTAATACAATAGACAAGTTCCTCTTTTCTTGTACAAGTGGTGCGGCAAGAATTTTAAAGCAGAGGAATGCCTTTGGTGTTTTACAGATCTAGAGGTCAGCAAAGTAGGAAATAGACCTGCGAGGTGTGTGACTCCATACACTTGCTGTAGCACAGGTGGTCATTATGCAAAATCATGGGACAGAAAAGATTACAGTCACCTTAGAATGAAATTGGAAAAGATCAGGGCATTGTATGTGTGTTGGGTGGAAGCCAGGGAATGCCCAGGGTTTCATGCATTACACATTCAAAGAAATACATATTGACAAAAGTTACAGGTTGTTGTGTACTGCACATGGAACAAGTCAGTGATTGTAACATGGTTCATACTTTGGGTCTGGATAACGCGGAGTATGGAATATAACAGTTCATACCTGACAGGTTCATATGTTGGGACTGGATAACGCTGAGTATGGAATATAATAGTTCATACCTGGCAGGTGAAACAAGTTCATGCATTGGGACTGGATTATGGCGGGCATGGAAAACTTCACATCAGTTCCCTTGCCGGATAGTGGGATTTACCCCATGGCCAGGCGACCCCGATTGTATTGCAGCATAAGTGACGCCTCCAGATGATCTCCCAGTAAACTCGTCTGCTGTGAGTTGAAAGAAGCTTGTACAAGCGAGAACACTCTCTCTGCTGGGGCAGAGGATGGAAGCAATGCAAAGACAATCTTTGCTGCCAGCTGCCATGCTGGAAGGTGGGTTTGCTGTGCCCACCATTTCAAACGCGGGGCATCTTCACTGATCACTGCGTCCACAGCCGCAACAGCGTATGCAGGAAGCTCTTCTGTCAGCTGCGCCATGATTTCATCGGAGTCGAGAGCAGGAACAACACGTAGGGCTGCTACATCGTCCAAGTACAGTGAGTCTGAGCTGAGGCGAATCTTCGATCGTCCAGGGAGCCATACACGAGACCGTCCTGATTACCAAGGACTCCCAAATAGGCACCAAAACTGCAAAAGGTCCGTTACGGATACCGAAGCTGAGTGGCATGACGTCACGTCGACGTGCTTATAAGCTCTGCGTACTGAGAACTACAGTGCTCCGTTCTCCTCGTCTAGTGCTCGGTTCTGCTCGTCTACCGCTCTGCTCGTTTAGTGCTCGGTTCTCAGCTCGTCTACATTTGTAGTGCTCGGTTCTGCTCGTCTACATTTGTAGTGCTCGGTTCTGCTCGTCTCATGCTCCGTTCTGCTCGCCTGGTGCTCCGTCTGCTCGTCTGGTGCTCCGTTCTGCCCGCCAATTGCCTCATTCTGCCGCATTCTGCTCCGATTTTGAAACCCCTGATTCTGCTCGAAATTCTGCCGGCATTATCCGCCGGGGCCTAGCCGTCGCTGGCTATCACCCCTCTCTCATTCAATGCTACTACTACTGGCATTGCTTGCCACGAGATGATGACGCAATAAATAAATAAATTCTAGGTTAGTGCATGGCAGGGAGGGCCTTGTGGCTTGATACACAAACAAGCCGTAAGGCCCTCCCTGCCATGCACTAACTATTTTAGAACGAGGTTTAACTGGTTACATGCACTATCTCCCTTGCATTATGCACTTGTGTATCCTGTACATGTACATGTACACTGTATTGGGTAGTTTTGTGGTTTGTGTGCAGAGAGAATTGGTGTGGTATGATAGAATATTTTCTTCTGGTAACTCAGCACCACCGAGGACGACTAAAAGTAGAATAGAAGCAAATGAAATGCTGGGCTCTTATTGCGAGCATCATTCTTATTCATAGCTTGTGGAGCTGTTTAGGGGCTTCGAGAGACGAGGGCCCCTTTTCGATACCTAAAATGACTTTGGTCTTCGTTTTTTATAGGGTTCCGCCAGCTGTTGACAAAGGGAAATCGTACAGATGAAAGAGTACGGGAGGCAAACCCGTACACACTTCTGAAATATACGTAGCTTTTTGTAGTACACCGTACATCAAGTTAACTCAGATAAGGCCCCTGGCGGGAATGCCGCTGATTGGTCGTTTCCTGGACAACAAGACAGACCTCGTTCTCATGGTTATGGACTCTTGATATGATCCATAATATTATAATAGAGGCCTTTGAGGCTGCGTTTACACGACAACGCACGGCCAGTTTTCCGTTTTCAGTCCCGCATTTCTTTTTTCGTTTTCGTACGTTTACACGATCAAAGCCGATCCGAGGTGGTCTCCGTTTGTATCGTTTTCAAGCGTCTACACGAGAGCAAAAGATCCGCCAAAGTTCGTCATGTGCTAAGTGTTGCCGTGGAAGCACCAATCACACTCAAGACTTACTTAGTAATGGTTGAAAACAGGCACACGTCACATGACGAAAATTGTATAAACATTTTTTGGATTGTCGGATCCGTGTAAAACGGCCGAAAACGAAACAAATGTGACGGAAAACGAGACCAGCACACCGTTTCGACTGTTTACACACCCAAATTTATCCGGCACAACATTTCCGTTTTCAAATTCTTCCACCTTGGCCAGCGTTTTGGTTTTCTTCCGTTTTGGTGTACAACTTTTACGTTTTGCTCCGCGGAGTCCGCGCACCATGAACCATGGATCCGAAAGGATTTCGCTGCTTTTTCGCCCCCAGCGTTGTCGTGTAAACGCAGCCTTAGCTAACGTAGAGCTAGCTGCACCCTTCCAAGTTCCATGCTATGGAAATGGGAAATGATCGACCTTGACTTGTACCCGCCCAACATGGGGCCGTACCTCCATGTAATTGGGCGACACTGCCAATTTGGTTCTGTGAATTCAATAAAAACGTACCAGGCTACATTCCACCACTAACAAAATAAAATAAACTACAAACGTCTACTACAGTGTACTCTTGCCCTCACCCTGGAGCTGGCTCCGGGCCGGTCTTGATACCTGTAAGGCTGTAGGCCTCCCTAGCCCTGCCTGTCACCACCATCATGATAACTAGAAACGCATGCATAGACATTCCGCGTGTTGGGCCGGAAATGTAAGGCCTATAGCCTAGTATACAGTCCATTCAGAAAAAAATGAACTTCTAGCTTTTGGCCATAAATGGGTCAAACGTTGAGTTTTTTTAGAATTTTTTTCTGCAATCCCATATGGAATCCTCTTCCAATTATGTTTCTGAAGTTTTTTTGTCCAAAAAGCAAGCCACAGCAAGAATAGGATTTCGGCCAGGTTTTGCCCCAAAAGCACTGAATTGGGAAAAACCATCAAAATCCAGGCCGTTTGACCCCGCCTGCAACAGTGCATTCTGCGGTTCGAACCCCAGTTCAGGCACCCTTTTTGGACCCTTTTTCAAATTTCAAAGTTCGCAGCACTGCACTGTGTACGATGAAATCACGAAAAATCGCCAAATACGGGAGCTCGCCAGAGCCAGGACCCATCTTTTTATGAATGGACTGTAGGCGATTCACACGACAGGCAAATCCACGTTTGTCAAGTGCCCGCGCAGGAAGTGAAACGTGAGGCCGCAGTTCACACGGCCGCGGGTGGCGGCCAGAGCTCCCGCGAGTATCCGGTGAGTATACGGCGTTACTGTGGTGATTTGGAATGAGTACCCAAAAACAAAGGCCAAACAACCAGGGTTCAAGACTACCGTACCATAGTACGACGTCACAGCCTCATAACTGTAAAAGTGCCCGCAGATGAGTGCATCCGCGGGCAAAAAGGCCATGGACACTTTTGATTCCCGCGGGCAAATTTTGGTCACCCGCAGGAATATCTCCATGGTGACTTTCCTGTAAACGTGGATTTGCCTGTCGTGTGAATCGCCTATTAGGGCAAGAGTCTATAACCACGGGTTATGGACTTGTTGGTATGGGGTGAGAATCCTAGCCCTCCATGCACATGCACACACACATGCGTGCACACACACACATGCACACACACACACCATTGGACGCCCATCGCCGGAGGCGATGATAGCGATGCTACAGCAGAAGCCATAGCAGCTTGTGCTGCACACACACACACACACAAACACACACAAGAGCATAATATAATCAGAGTTTGCAGCACACTTTTTCTAGCATATGAGCTCAGGGAGTACTCAGAGATAGTCGGGTTCTGTTGGCACATGTTCAGACAAGAGATAATAGGAATAAAAACTAGAAATCGGCAGCGCGCGTGCAGCGGCAGCAGTCACACCGCAGTAGATGATCATCATGCAGCGACAGATGCACCAATATGTGCTGCATGCACACATCAATAATAGTCCATAGCAAAAGTCAAGAGTGTGATCATGCAGGCCATTATCAGTGCATCAGTGCATGAGCACACACAGAGAGCATAGTGCACATGGGCGAACGGGGTAAAAGAAACAAGACGTATGGAAAATAACAGCCAAACAACTTCCAACGTTCCCCCCTATATCAAGTGTCAAAAATGGACCGGACAAAAAGCAAGCAGCGAAAAGAATGAGAACAAGATAAGAAAACGGACGGCCAGCCATACACTGTATTTCATGGTGTGAAGAAATAGTGAGTTTCATGATTTTTTAAAAATATTTCATGGAACGTATGGGTTGAAGGATTCACTTTTTTATAGTCCATTTTTTCTTCCTTTTTTTCTTCATTTCATTAATTTAGTCAAAAACAGCATGAGACGGGATGCAACATTCACAAAGGAAATCGAAATCAAGGTGGATGCAGCGAAGAACTAGGTGAGTAGCTCGGAGAACTTGGAGAATAGCTCGGCGAACTTGGCGAATAGCTAGGCGAGCTTGGCGAATAGCTGGGTGAGCTCGGCGAATAGCTCGGCGAGCTGGGAGAGTAACTCGGTGAACTAGGCGAGTAACTCGGAGAGCTCGGCGAATAGCTCGGGGAGCTGGGCGAATAGCTGGGCGAGCTCGGCGAATAGCTTGGCGAGCTGGGTGAATAGCTTGGCGAGCTGGGCGAATAGCTGGGCGAGCTTGGTGAATAGTTCGGAGAGCTGGGTGAATAGCTCGGCGAACTTGGAGAATAGCTAGGCGAGCTAGGCGAATAGCTCGGGTAGCGAGGCGAAGTTGGACTGTATGACGGCGAGGTGGGTGAGTAGGAGGGTGAGGTGGGCGAGTAGGACGGTGAGGTGGGTGAGTAAGAGGGTGATGTTGGACTGTAGGATGGTGATGTTGGACTGTATGAAGGTGATGTTGGGCTGTACGAAGGTGAAGTCGGACTGTACGAAGGTGATGTTGGGCTGTACGACGGTGACGTAGGGCTGTAGGATGGAGACGTGGGACTGTACGAGGGTGATGTGGGGCTGTACGAGGGCGATGTTGGACTGTAAGAGGGCGATGTGGGACTGTACGAGGGTGAAGTTGGACTGTAGGATGGCGACGTAGGAGAGTAGGAGGGTGACGTCGGGCTGTAAGAAGGTGACGTAGGACTGTAGGATGGTGATGTTGGTGAGTAGGATGGTGACGTTGGACTGTAGGATGGTGAGGTAGGCGAGTAAGAAGGAGAAGTCGGACTATAGGATGGTGATGTTGGACTGTAGGAAGGAGATGTTGGACTGTATGATGGCGACGTTGGGCTGTATGATGGTGATGATGGACTGTATGATGGTGACGTTGGACTGTATGATGGTGAGCTGGGGACGTACGGCGACGGGCTTGCCATGGGAGAACCAGGAGAGGCGGGTTGCGGGGACCAGCCAGGACTGAAACCTGGGCCCGGGCTCATGCCATCATGGAATGGTGCCGGAGAGAATGCTGCTCCGCCACCGCCAGGTGTCTGTCCACCCGGTGTCCATGCACCAGCCATGTAGGCCGGTGTTGTGCCCTGATTCCACGGCGTCATCTGGGGGGACATGGCACCAGGAGATTGCTGACTGAAGAAGTTGTTGGACCCAGCAGCACTACTATTTCCATCAGCACCCATCTGACCACCCATAGGAGCAAGCACATCAGGCACTGGCACTTCCAGGCCATTCTTGCAGCGCTCGGCATCCAGCAGTAGGTCAAACGCACCGGTGCCGAGACGACCCATCTGTCCAAGCATGATGTTCTCGCTCACACCTCTCAGTGGATCAACTTCGGCATGCGCCGCAGCTTCCATCAAGATGTCCACCTACGTCACAAGGAAACACACATGCAAGAGTGGCAACAGCAGCAACAATGAAAACAAGAGATGTTATTAAAGAAGACGGCGGAAGCAGCACACAATCAAACATGAACAGAAGCACCTTGATCCAACACAACATTTTGAAGTCGTATAATGTATGCTTTAGAGTTATGGAAAAGCCAGTACACGGATCTCTACAAGGACAAAGAATGCGTGCACTGTACTATCACAGCTACACGACACTGTGTCAGGTGACATGTGATGGCAGAAGAAGTGCTGCACGCTTGCAGCACGATATTCCAAACGCTAACTTACCGTTTCCTCAAAAGAACAGCGAGCAAGAGCACCGGTTTCTCGCCTGTTGATGCCATGGCGAGTGATTGCCATCAAGAATCCACGGCTGGTCATCACGTCACATAGCAATGCCAAGTGACGGTAGTTGACATAAGATCCATCAAAGGAAATGACGTGGTTAAGTTCCTTCTCCACAGACTTGCGTACAGCCTCAATACCAAGGACCTGTAAAGTAACAGGTATGCACACGGGTTACACACACACACACACACACACACACACACACACACACACACACACACACACACACACACACAAACAGACACAATCCTGCTATCAAAAACAAACAGACATCGGTAAATGGAAAATGTAGAACATTGAAAGTGTCCCAGACTGAATTACTACATTACTGCACAAACCACACTCGCCAAGTACTAGTACCGTAAAGTACCGCCAGAGCGCCCCACCATCTCGTCCTTTTGTGGCCGCCTTGTGGAGGTGGATTCCTGTCTGTAGGTCATACGACACGGACTGCACATTGTGCAGTCAATCCGTACCAGTTTACCTTCGAGCTCCACATAAAAGCATACCAAGTGTGACCTTAGTACACGAAGGTTCTCACATCGTACAAACTTAGTAGCATTCTGCCATACGATTTTCCTCCCTTGGCTGTAAAATCAAGGTGGGGCGCTCTCGCGGTATTTTACGGTATATATATGAACACAGGACCCTAGAAATCAAAATCATACCGTGAAGATTTCACAGATGTCATTGGATGTGGATCGCACAGGGTCTACTTCTGGGTCAGCCAAGACGCGCATCAGATTCACACCGTCAGTCTCGAGGATCCATTCCTGGATGAACTTGAATTCACCCTGATCGTTGATGATGGCACGCTTCTTGTTCTGTTCCCGTGGCAAGTTCATGTAGACCTGCACACGCACAGCACACAAATTAATACAATCATAGCAAAGGATGTCTTGAGGCAGTCAAGAGCAGAGCAGCATACTCGGTTCTACATAATTAATTATACACTTCTCAAGGATGAATTTATCCTGTATCGCATCGCAGTTTGCGATGCAACATCGATCTACTGCCACTCAAAAATCACCGCGACTCGCAGAAAATTGCGATACATACAGGCTAACCATGGCTAGCCTGCGCTGTCAAGTAGCATGCATACAGTGCAGTGTATGTGGTGCAGGTACTCTCAATCTGCGTGCACATGTATGCTTCAGTCGGGGTTTTTCACAAATGGGCTTTCAGGCACCACTGTCAAGAAGGACAATGTGGTAAACATCCAACCTTCAAAGAAAAAGTGCTAATCAAAATCAAAGACTGCTACACAATAGTAATTTCGTATAGCAGAAACTGCTATGCAAAAGTATGACAGTAAATTCATCTCTGCTTCTATTTCTTATTAGCTTCGACTCCAGCGGTGCCAAACACGTATCAAAGTGAACACTAATATACTAAACAACTACATGTACTAGGCAATGCCACTTACTTACCTTGTGAATTTGTTCAATGCCCTGCAAGGTCATATCTGTCAACAAGTTAGCTTCCAGGCACCTCAAGAAGACGTCATCCTCCATCTTGTCCATTTGCTCTTCCCCAAACTGAGGAGAAAAGGGGAAAAATTTAAAGATGCGGTGAAAACCAATGATACGAGTTCAGAATCGGAACCTGGGTGAGAGAGCAGATTGCTAACAGTGTGATGATAGTAAGGTTTTGTCAGTACACGTGTGGCCGTGCATTGTATCATGTGAGGCAGACTGAAGTACCGGTACTTCCCCCCTCCAAAGCACACTCAAATACACTGCTGCATAGAGAACATTGAATGGAAGAACAGAACCACATGCAACACCAACCTTGGATCCCTCGTCATTAGTCATCAGTCGAATACGCAGCACCAGCTTCTCGGAGTTGTCATCATTGAAGATGCAATTCAAGTCCGAGCCGAATGTCTGATTGATGCGCTCCGCGATTTGCTCCATGGTCAGCTTCTTGTCTGTCATACGCTTCATGTCCAGCTCAATGCGAAGAAGCCAGGGAGAAATGCGTGCAACATCAAAGTCCGGCATCTCGTAGTAGATGGAGACAAACTCCTGATCCTCTGCAATTACCGTGTTGTTCGGGTCTGGATCATAGTAGATAGCAGTGGAGGAAGTCACTCGGCGCAGCGTTGTGTGCTCAAGACGACACAGTACGTCCTGCACATTGCCACCATACACACACACAAACATTTAGACAGTGTACACATGTTTTGATTATACAAGCTCACTGGAAGAAGCTGGCAATGAGTGAGTAAGACCTGATTGGAGAGAGGTGCAGCCCAGGCAAGAACCATGCAATACCCCTCCCCCACGCATACACACAGGAGGACTCAGAAGGTGAGAAAAGGAGTACAAATGAGTGGCAATACATGAGAGTAGCCAATATAAGCCTGCCTGGACCAATCCAGACTAAAAAACTGCCTATCATTGCACATAGCAGACACACAATACACCATAAAGCAACAGAGCCGCTAGCCTGTAGCAGGCTCCGTTGTCATCAGGTATAGCGGTGCCTACCCAGCAATAGGCCTGCAGTGATAAATACGCACACACCCAACATAACGCGCAGATACATGTTGGGTGTATAACGTTCTGTGAGAGTTTTAAACCCGCTGAGCACAGATTGACTGGAGAGTTCACATGAGGCATTGCGCTGAATCTGGGTCAATTTTCAACCTTTTCCCCAAGCCAAGGGAAGGGTAGAAATCGAGAAAACGCACTACCGTACTCGTGTGCGTATTTTGCGCCAGAATTACACAGCATTACACGTGGAACTTTCTCGCAAGGTAGTCACAGCGATACAGGACTTTTGTCGTCATGGCAACCGCCCGGGTCAACCATCATGTAAACAGTCATGTCAGGCCCAGGACAGTCCATACCTTTGCCTTCTCAGCATCGTGTGCTGCGGCTCCCAGCAAGTACACAGTCAGCGAGGGTGTCTTTGGTCGCCGAGACACGTTGATGATTTCCTTGAGACGCGGTACACCAAGTGTGACGTTCTTGGCAGAGACACCGGCGTAATGGAAAGTGTTCAATGTCATCTGTGTGGCAGGCTGACCGAGTGACTGGGCGGCCAGCGCACCAACCATCTCACCAGGGTCCACCTGCACGAAGGAAGACAGCATAGTGGCACAGCACAAAAAGGGAAAAGACATTGACGAATAAAGCGTCTAACACAAAATACCAACGGTTGCTGACATCCATGCCATACACGGTGCACACTAGTGCTTAGCAGTGGTGCTCCTTCTTGGCCGACAGAGAATCAAAACCAAGAAGCTATGTGCATTGTGGCAGCAAAGGAAGCCATGCTGTCGAGGTCGTGGAGTGGCAGTAAAATGAAGAACCGAATGAGCTCTTACTGATAAGCTCGGGCAGCACAGCAAACACTAGTCAAGGATTCAGGATAATCATGATCCATTGTCATTGCCAAAGTGGGGCTTTGCTAGTTACAGACTACCATGGACCCCATGGGGGCGAATTCACCAGCTACATGGACAAACAAAAGGCACACACAACTGTCTGCTGCTGTGCACATACCATAGCCTGCTGGAACCTGGATTCTACTTCACCCAGGACCCAGTCAAATGCCTCCTGGGTCAAGCGATGTGTGTAGATCACTTTGTTGCTGGCAAATACCGAACGAAGAAGCATATTGAAGAGTAGAGTAGAGTTGAACTGAGCTTCCTTTGTGAGCTTGTCGTCGCCAGGAATGACAATCAACTTCTCGCTCAGCGCTTGCACATCTACCACACAAGATAAAGGCAACGAGAGCAGTTGTCACTAAGAGCCATTGGCACAGTGGCGAAAATGAAAATAGCTACTAGACAGGGTCAGAGTCATAGATATCCCTCGATTTCATGACTGTGACAGCACAGTATCGCTCTAGTCACAACTACATGTAGTACTCCCCGGGTGTATGCACACAGTCCACCACTCATGCATGGCTCTAGTACGGGCATGTGTCAGCTACTGGAGATGCTCGTGGAAGAAAGTCTGCCAGTATGCATAACCAACAAGAACCAAAAAAACCAAAAACCAAACCAAAAACAAAAACAGATCTACTCACGGTCCACGATATGCACCGGATGCAAGTCAGTTGGCCGCCGCTTGTCAATGTGGAAGATGTTCTGTGCGTTCCAAATGATACGGTTCAGGTTGACAGGCATGGCCAGCTGTATCAGCATAACACAAAAACACATGTCCAACAGCCAGAGACTCAGTGTCACGTTCACCCCTGAACATATTATACCCCTGTGATATGTAAGGATAGCACAGCGAAGCGCATACAAAACAGCACAGGATACAAATAGAAGCACGCAGGCCCGTCGAACAGGTAGGGCTGCCACAAACGCTGGGCAATCACCAATTATCAGTTCTTGACAGAAAGCTTACCCGGCTGTCACCCTTGCTGAAAATGCGCCGAAGAAGCTCTCGGTCTTCCCGCAGTTGAGCATACTCGCGCTCAAGCTGTGCCTGAATGTGGGCGTCATTGAGAACTTGATGAACAATGTCCTCACCCATGGCCCGCTTCATAGAACTGCACACAGACATACACACACAGACATAGACAGAAGACACAAACACACAGAGTCAATGACTGTCAGCCAAGGAAACAAAAGAAGCTGGGCGAGACCCAAACGGACACATACATATTCCACCATGCGTCAGTTCTAGCACTGCATGGCTTCACACTCGACAGATTGCGCAGGCTTCCGACACGTCCAATGCGGCTTTACACATGCACACGTGTGTGACGTATGATTTACTGCACGAGTACAAACGAGTACAAGGGCAATACCGGCTGATACATGACCGAAAGGCGCCAGCCGTGAGGTCATGTATCAAGCCGGTATTGCCCGTGTACGAGTGCGTACGAGGCGCAGTAAATCATTTATTGCATGCTTGACCCAAACATTCCAGAAAACGGAGAGAAACCTTTCCGACTTTCTCAGTCTCCCGACACACTTGTTCAGTGGTAAACATCGTTTGTGGTTTTGAAATTCTCTATTTCTTTACGATATCGATGGTGTTGTTGTTCGTGATTGAGCACTGCGTGTAGAAGTCCTGGAACAGGAACTGAAACTGGGATGGGCTCCACAACTTCGTCTCGAACGCATTCAGTTCGTCAAGTTCGTCGGCTGCTCACCAACGCATCGATATCGATGTCAAGGTTGCATTCACCTGCTGAGGCGGCTGGTTCATGTGGCTGGAACAAGTAAGTTATTGTCAGCTCAGTTACATGCGCGCGCGTGTGGTCTGTCATTCTCGTGCTTTGTAGTTTGTAGTCAGATCAAGTTAGTTGCTGTTTTGTGTTTCAAATTTGAAACTCCGAACTGTAGCAACTAACTTACTTGATCTGATCACGAACCACAAAGTACAAGAATGACAGTCCGCATGCGCGTACATGTAACTGAGCGGGCAATAACTTGCCGGGCAATACCGAGAAATACAGACCGCTGAACAAGAGCGCTCATTGGCTGTAGTACAGGCGACCCTCACGTGACATGCAATAAAAGCCGATACGCTAGGGCTAAATTGATAGACTCGCGCCTTGCAAATTGGTGAAAAGCATATCACTGTGTTCTGCACAGTCAGCAACTAAATGTGGGAGCCCATTGCAATACATACAGCACGCCTTTTCTTGCAGGAGGCTGATGTATTGATAAGCGTTGAAAGAAAAAAGTCAGTCAAGACTACCAGCATGCAAATTTACCGAAGATAAACCCATGCAAGAAATTTGCATGAGTAAAAGGTGTGCAAACACTATGAGCAAACACCTAAAGGCCGATTCATACTTCATTTTGCGTTCGGGAAATGCGCCACGTCGCAAAAAAAGTGGATCTGAGCTCAACTTTTTCGCGTACGGGAGAGCCATCGCGTGATGACTTTCCCGTACTTCCTCCGCGTCATCGAAATTGTCGCAGTTTGACTAGTGACTTGTCACTGACAACTCCATAAGCTAAACCATTCAAAACTTATTACACAGGATGATAGTCTAAAGACTAGAGTAACGTTCCAGGACAGTTGGACTGAGAGTTTTCATGCAGAGATGAAGTCCTCGTCGTCGCTGATGTCAATGGACGCAAAAATATCGTTCCGAAATATTTCAAGGAAGGTTGAAAGTTGGTCGCGCCTCATCTCGAACGCTTTGACTTTCTCCACAGGACAAGAGCTGCTATGCTTGTCGTCTGCTAGCTCTGGATGATTCCTACTACACCGCCAGTGAAGCCTAGTAAGAATACACGATCGTTGCGAGGTCGGTTGATTACCATCAGCGGAATCAACTCGATCTTGAAATGAACTTTTTTTAGCCGTGGCATGCCCATTTATTTTAGCTGTGTGGTCACAGCTCATGCAGGTAAGTGTACTATCACGTCCAGCGCGCCCTCTTTTTCAGCATCACTGGTACGGCACCTGCGCGTGCATCACTAGCACCAAGTGTAGAGTCTACGTAGCTCTTGCAGGTACAATCATGTACTGAGTGTCTCAGCCAGAGCGACAAATTTTATCGCTGTTGCATGCATTTAGTTTGCTGACCCCTCGATGTTTCTCCAAGCGCTGCTACTTGTTCCACGAAGTCATTCTCACCCCAGCTAAGGTAAAACAGTGATGAGGCTTGATTGAATGGCCATAAGCACGAGAAATGTGCAGGCTGCAACGCCTGACTGATCTCAGCGAGTCGAAATTACCATCGCAGCGACATCACCGAAGAAATTGCATCTAGTTCAAAAATTTCAGCTTCCAATAACAGAAAATAGAACTTTGCCGTCACCCTATACTAATGAACTGCGACAATTTCGATGACGCGGAGGAAGTACGTGAAATGAAGTATGAATCGACCTTTACGCAGATAAATCATAGTACTTACCGCTCATCTGTGTAGTCAAATTTGAACTGGCGGTTGAAGGCATTGTGAGACGGCTTCACAGTGGGCAACTGCTGGAACTCCATACGTGCACCATCCATGCCATCCTCACCATACACCAGCTGGATCAACTCGTTGGTTGAGCTACGCACGGTACCGTCGTAGCAAACCATCAGCGACTCCATAGCTTTGACCAGCCGACGCTGAATGTAGCCTGAAACAAGGCACATGCAGCCACACAAGTCAGCCAGGTTCATTTGGCACTCACGTATATCACACACAATACACACAATTCACGGTAGAGAAGCTGTCGAAACGGGGGGAAATGCAAGGATCAATGCAGCAGCAGTGTGCAATAAAAACTAACCAGTTTCTGAGGTCTTGACAGCAGTATCGATCAAACCTTCACGACCTCCCATGGCGTGAAAGAAGAATTCGTTGGGCGTCAGTCCGGCAAGATAGGAGTTCTGCACAAAGCCACGACTCTCAGGACCGTAATCATCCTTGATGAAGTGCGGCAAGGTGCGGTGACGGAAGCCAAACGGAATACGCTTTCCTTCAACGTTCTGCTGACCCACACACGCAATGACCTGCAGTTGGAGCAGAGAACAGCAGAGAGAACATGCAACTGTGTTTGGCACCCCTGTACTACACTAGCAATGACCTGCAATCAAAAAACAATGCAAATTGAAACAATTCAGCATTGCCAAGCACAGCAACAAAATGCCTCATCGGATGAGGGAACGGTCCGAGACAAGTAAGAAATGAGAAGCACATACCTGAGAAATGTTGATCTTGGATCCCTTGGAGCCAGCTACCACCATAGCCTTGAAGTTGTTGAACTCGGACAGAGACTTCTGAGCAGAGCCACCAGTTTTGTCACGGGCATCGTTCAATATGCGGTTCACCTGGGTATTGTTGGACAAGAGGATGCAATAACGTTTGCACGGATTCAGTTACTTTTCAAACAAGTTTGGGAAATGAGCAGCCATTCAAATACATTCAAAATGATGGGGGAAAGCTGTCGATCAAGTTAGTGCAGTGGAAACATTTCTACGGCAAACAATTATTTGCTTGCAGAAGCAGAAAACAGTCGCTCACACATACATTATGTTGGGCGTTGTGCTCCACATACCTGGTTCTCAAAGGTCTGCCGCAATGTGTTACCCGGAGTCGGCTCCAACTCGTCATTGTGAGCTTTCTCAATAATGTCATTGACATCTTGCTGCAAACACAAAACAAACAAACACAAGAAGCCACATCAACAACCATTTACTGTAAAGCACCGCACTAACAGCAAACACACGATCTTCAATGCGGAAAATTGGGATGAACTTGTTTGCCGAGCATTTACCTCATGGCATATACAAACAGCAATTGCACAGCTCCTAAAACCAGGGTACAGGGAAGGGAATAATTACATTGCCCCCCCCTAGCCTGCCCAAATGTAGCGCTATTACATTGTCCTACCTTAGCCTGCCCAATGTAGCGCTGGATTTCACTGTAGGTGTCGGAGTCGGCAATACAGTCACCGATTCCGATCGAATGGCCTTCCATCATGAGCCAGTTGTTGACCAGAGTCTGGATGTTACCGTAGAATTGGCGCGCAATCTCGTGGCCCTCCTCCATGAAGACGATGTGCACCAAACTGCCGCCGGACGTACCAAGGGACTTCTTACACAGGATGCCGCAGATCAACTCACCATTGTCAATCAACACCTGTAAAAGACATTGGCAATACAGGAACAAAACATTAGGTTGAAAGAGAGAGAGAGAGAGAGAGAGAGAGAGAGAGAGAGAGAGAGAGAGAGAGAGAGAGAGAGAGAGAGAGAGAGAGAGAGAGAGAAAGAGACAAGAAAGAGAACAAGAGCACTAGTTTACACCGAAATTGACACAACCCAAAGTAACAACTATCAGTAGCTCTGGTGTCACGCCATAACAAGTACCTTGGTGTCACCAACAGAGACGTGCTTGTATGGACTGTCATCCTCCTCGTCCGGATGGGTGCTGTGGTACTGGACGCAGTTGACACAGCCTGGAATAAGCAGCGAGAAGAGCTGCTTGCCCGTCCACAGTGGCCTGGGCTTGAGGATGGCGGGCTGCGGGATCTTCCCGTCCCAGTTGGGAATCCACATCAGCAGCTGCATCACGTTTTCCTGCAGAAGAGACAGCAGTAGCACAACCATACACAATGGATCAGGTCTACATTGCCTCACGTGACAAAAGATCCCATAGAGATGGGAGCTAAAGCCGGCACTATGTCTGCAGGACTGCTATAGAAGCAATAGGGTAAACATACATGTATACCAGCAACGGGAGCATCTAAGATGGCCGTCACCTTTTTGCGGGGCAAGTTGCCCCATACTTGGCAGGTACAACCCGTTCTAGTACATTTACGAGTATGACCTCACAAAGTTCATGACCTTTTATGCTGAGTTGGTGTCAAGGTGTGTACGGTTGTAGTGGACTTGCCCTGCAAAACCTAATGGCGGGAAATTGATGCATTTGTCCCATTAAAACTGATGATAAGGAGATCACTAGCGTCCACCAACCTTGTCAATGAAGACATCTCTCTTAGTCATCTTGCGCACAGCTGTGAGGGTATCCTGCACAATTCCCATCACAGGACGATTGGACTGGGGCGTGACAATCATACGTGGTACCATCGCCAATTGCTGGACTTCAGCGCGAGTCTCGTACGACTGAGGGACGTGAAGGTTCATTTCATCACCATCAAAATCGGCATTGTACGGCGTTGTCACACTGCAGTGGAGCGACAGACAAGGAACAATGGTTAGACCAAATCTGCTTCATACAAGGAAAGCTTTTGCGGAAGTAAAGGTGAAACCTCGTGAAACAACAACCTGCTATCAGCAGCCACCTGGTCTGCAAGACCACCATTCATTAGCACAAAAAGTTCAGAATGTGAGAGGCCGCTCCGGTTTCAGAGACCACATTCACTCAAAAACTGTGATAGGCCAGTCGCACAACACGACGGCTGAATCCATGTTCCACCCATTTTCGTGCAGCATCCAACAAGCTAGCACAATCAAGAGCACACCCACCTGAGATTCAATCTGAACGTCGACCAGGGCAAAATCCGCACTCTGTGACCCATCATACTCATCTTGTGAAGAGTTGGTTGACGGTTGAAGACGACAATGTCGCCAGTAATGATGTGCCGTTCGACCTGCACATTGCATGCGCAAACATATATATATATACAGCAGAAAGAGAAAATGAATATGCAACATGTCAAAGGTCCAGCTTACTTCACACACAGTGAACATTGTGAAAGCAGCTGCTAGCTAGCAGAAGAGAATCGATATACTATAGATGAAAGGGTAGTAAAAAGCAGAATTGAAAAAGCATTTTTCTCAAGGTTTGGAGACTCCACTGTAGCCAATACTTGAATCCATACATCCTGGACACACCTTGTACACAGAAAAAGCATTGCTAAACAAAAGGCCGGTACAAAGCACACAGAGGTCAGAGACACACAAAACAAACTCAGCACAATACAAGGACAACTGAAATAGAATGATGACCTACACACCTTGTAGCCGCATTGCAAATGGAGATCACTGGGCTTGGGATGGAAACGCAAGTCAATTCGATCACCGTTGTCACGGATGATGTACTTGGCTCCCGGGTACTGATTGTGCCCACGACCAACCAGGGCATGCATCCTGCAACACAAAAAGTCACAGTGCATCCCACATGCTCAGTGGCACAAACGCAGACTGAAAGCCCGCCCAGACCCGGCGAACGCTTCCATAGTAACCACAAATACATTGGCATTTCGTCGACCGGCTTGTTTGCTTAGTTTGGCCGCTCCATCTCCGAGTGTGGATGTGCATTCAACACTGCACAGCTTTTTCATGCTCTTTGCCTCTTCCTCCATCTCCACGCATAACAAGTAACAAGCAACAAGAGGTTGACAGTGAGCATTATTTCAGCCATTGCCAGCCAGTACCATGCTAAAGAAGTTTGTAGTAAAAAAAAAACCCGAGGCCAGATCACTAACGACAAGCTACCTACTGTAAAGTGACGGACGGCTACTTACTGGTTGATATTGAACGGTGTTACAACTTCCGGAAAGGTCAGATTCTGAGCAATAGTACGTGGCACTCCAACTTGATCAATCGAAAGGTTGGGATCTGGTGTGATCACAGCACGCGCTGAGAAGTCAACACGCTTTCCCATCAAGTTACCACGCACACGACCCTCTTTGCTTTTTAACCGCTGCTTGATGGACTTCAGGGGACGACCTGACCTTTGCATAGCCTGGAAAAAGAAGCACAGCAGCGTGACAGAAGTAAGTTAGAAAACCTTCAACAAGTTCACATCTTGACGAACAAGCCAACAACGTTTAGATAACCAGCAAGTGTTCACAAGATTACAGTCTAATCCGAATCCAAATCAGCCAAATCACAAAGAGAGGGAGGAAAAAGCAATAGTGTGTGTGTTGGCTAAGAGTCACTTACGCGCGGCATGCCTGGAATTTCATTGTCCACCATGGTGGAGACGTGGAACTGCAGCAGCTTCGTGTCTTCAGAAATGATGTGTGCAGCAGCGCCGTTTTGTTCATTGCGCCGAAGGTTGTTGTTGGCTTTCACCACGTCGGCTAGTTTGTGAGTCAAGTCATCCTGCAACATCCAGGAGCAAGAAACACAGACTAAACTTAGCCTGGTAAAGTCTTGACTTAACCAGCCACAGAATTGTGTGCTAAGCATTGTTTAGCCACGGCAATCAAGTGCCATCTTGTGAGTCACTGCAGCCGAGTGCCTTTGTACAAAACAATGAGATGGAAATGGTATACTGTGTTGGTCAGTCCAAGACATGCATTGCCTAGTACAGCAAAACAGCATGGTAAGGACAAACAATGCATAAGGTGCCATACACATCGGGACATAGCTGACCTGACTTCTGGCAGAGCCACCACCCATCACAATGGATGGCCTCACGGGCAGTGGAGCAATGGGCAGGACAGTAATGACCATCCAATCAGGACGGGAGTAGCGAGGATCCATACCAAGAATCATACTGTCTTCATCGGTAATGCGCTTGAAAACCTCAAGGACACGCTCAGCTGTTAGTTGCTTTTTCTTCTCCTGTGAGTCTTCATCCACATTTTTCCATTCTCCAACAAGATCCAAGCCAGTCCGCTTGATCTTTGGCTGATTGCGACCACAACCACTGTGAGACTACATGTATAACACGCATGCACGGGCGCGCGCGCGCGCGCACACACACACACACACACACACCCGAGCGAGCAGGGAGAGCAAGAGAAAGAGAGAGAGAGAGAGAGAGAGAGAGAGAGAGAGAGAGAGAGAGAGAGAGAGAGAGAGAGAGAGAGAGAGAGAGAGAGAAGGTGAGATGGATGGAGAGAGAGCAGGCAAAAGAAAGAATCAGCTCTAGTCGTGTATAACAACCGATGGAGTGATAGTGCTTTACCAGGGGCGATCGACAAAATCATAATTATAGTATAGGAGATATAACGCCCAAGTTAATATAACTGCACCATTCGTGCGCACATGCATCCATACACACCCTGGCAATTCAACACTTACCACTTTCTTTGCCTGGTCACCATCACCTTCAGTCTCATCCAGACCTTCGCACACTTTCTTGTTCTTGCACAGGTCGTAAATGGCAGCAAGACGGCGGCCGGGCCGGCCGTGTGTTTTCTTGACAATTTCCTTCACTACCTCCGTGCTCTGCACCATCCACACAACACAGAGACAAGTGTAGAAATGAGCAACAAAGGAAACGCCATAATTATATTGTGCACTGCAACTTGTCCGCTCTCTGCAACAATCTAATGTGTAAGATGTGCATGTGCATACGTAGGGACAAATTCTACATAGTTACATCTGCACATCATACGCCACCAGTGAAGGAATAGCCGTGTATGGCAGCAAGACTGTACGCATATGTACACATGTGCAGTAAGGCATTGTGGGAGTCGTTACCATCTTTCATGTGTAGTGTTGATAAATGAGTGGACTATGATGCCTGTAATACAGTGAATTCATAATACCGGCCATCTTGTATGACATAGCTTGCTGTGCACTAATTTGACAAGGGCAACTGGCAAATATTTTCCGACTATTCCACCCTCACACAAACACAATAGGACCACAACTACAATTTGCATCTGATTGGTTGGGGAATTGAATGTCACTACCAGACGGAACACTTCCCGTAATCTCATATTTTACTCAAGATCACTATTCAATCCCTCAAACTCAGTTTGTGTAAATTTGTGTATTGGTGCCTGGCCGTGTCTGTCGAACTCTTACTGCCACAGTTTAGAAAGTAAAATTTGAACACATGGCAAACGCTCCACGGTTTTTTCTCGGTGCATGACTGTACAAGTGGGATGGATGCATTGTAGCATTGTAGTTAATAGCAGAGAGGACTAGACACAACAGCTCATATACCGTGTCGATGAGTAGCTTTGAGCAGAAGAAACAGACGCAACGAAGGACTTTGACTGTTTTCGTCATGAAGCCAATGTGAAACACTGGCTTAGCCAAGTCAATATGCCCAAAATGGCCTGGGCATGTGTTCATGTTGCCACCACACGTCTGACATCGTGCAGATCTATCCACGACTCCTTGACGTGGATCCATCAAGCCACCGAGCTTGGGTCTGCCACGCTCCATAGTCTCAGGATACCTGATTCCACCAGGGGTGGATGACATTTGTCGCTGTGTGCACAAAGCCACACGTACACAACGGACAAACAAGAAATAATAAATATAAAAAAATAAAATGAAACAATGGACAAGACGCCACCATGCTTTGCAGAGCTGGAGGCTTCACTCACAACTTCATCAGGCCCGAGTATTCCAAACTGAACTTTTTTAATTGTCTGCAACGTCGCGGTGGAGTCATTAGTCGCCATGGCTCTACCTAAGCAGCCCACAAGGCCACAACCACGACTAACTAACTTCCACCGACTCCTCGTTCTCGCAAAGAAACGAGAACTGTTTTGGCCAACGGAAAACGACGCGCTTTTATACTGTTCGTTCTCGCGCATGCGCATTCTTGCAGGAACTTGGTTATGATGTCATTCTTGCATCATTCATCCCCCGGCCCCAGAAATCATGGTAGATCTGTACCAGGGAGTCGTAAAAATATGGTATTTTAGTTTTTACGACTCCCTGATCTGTACATGTACATGGTGCATGGTGTGGTGTGGATCGGCAGGATATCGCCGGCGCCGCACACACTGGCACATGACTCATGATGTCACACAAAATCTGTCGCTAGCGCTCGATCACTCAATACGCGAGCGCCTCGATCGAGGAACTCGAGGGCCAGGTGTAGTACGAGTAGTAGCAAGAGTGCATAAGGCCGAGTAAAAAAAATTACTAGATGATCGTCCTTTTTTTTGGAAAAATCGGGGAGGGCGGGAGGATTTTATTTTTATTTTTTTACTTTTTACCCTCTCATGCACACAGTGTACACAACAACATCAAGGTTTTTTTTCTCTTTTTTTCTTTTTTTTTCTTTTTTTCTTTTTCTTTCTTCAGCAGATCGATACTGACGTTGTGATATACTAGTATGTGGTCCATATAGTAAAGAAAGTATTAAACAAAGCGTGCACATGTTTCCTGCATCCGCGATCGGTAAAAAACCAACGATTTCGGCAAAAACTCACGATTTAAAAAATAAAATATTTCTTGGGGCGCTGACAAAAACTGGGGCGGACGGGGACGATCATCTAGCTTTTTTTTTTACTTGGCCTAACAACACTGTTTATGGACTCTTGCCTCTTGGTAGTAGTAGTAGTAGTACTAGTAGTGCTGTAGTAGTAGTAGGTGCTGAGTCGAATGGTCTTGGTCCGAGAAAGCTGAGACGCTCCCTTCCTACTTGAATCCCAATCGAACTCGCGCACTTCCACCGAAACTGGGTGACTGCGCCCTACTAGATGGGGATTTGTATGCAAAATGTCACTAAAAGCGCCATTTCGTTCTTATAAAAGCACGGATGACCGCGATTGGCCCATATGTTGTAGTCTTTGGGACGCTGAGTCGACTGGTTTTGGTCCGAAAAGGCTGCGATGCAGCGTTCCTCCTTTATTCCCAATCGAACATGGTTGAACAAGTGGTCACGTGCTCCTGCGTACACCAGTCAGCTGGTCACCGTGCCTGCAGGGTACAACTTACTAGCCTGTTTGACCTTTTTTGGGTGCAGTCCTGTCACTCGAGTTGAACTCGAGTTGAACCTTGGTGTGAAAGTTGTCGCCTGCTGGCGTGGTGACCAGGTGATTTGGGCACCCAGGAGCACGTGACCACTTGTTCAACCATGTTCGATTGGGAATAAAGGAGGAACGCTGCATCGCAGCCTTTTCGGACCAAAACCAGTCGACTCAGCGTCCAAAAGACTACAACATATGGGCCAATCGCGGTCATCCTTGCTTTTATACATGTAAGAACGAAACGGCGCTTTTAGTGAGATTTTGCATACAAATCCCCATCTAGTAGGGCGCAGTCACCCAGTTTCGGTGGAAGTACGCGAGTTCGATTGGGATTCAAGTAGGAAGGGAGCGTCTCAGCTTTCTCGGACCAAGACCATTCGACTCAGCACCCCGAAGACTACAACTGGTGAAATTTTAATTTTTGCCTTAACTTCCCCTTTAATTTTTACTAGGGGAGTCCCAACAGGCGTTGCCTTTTTACTGGGAACCCCAGGTGAATTTTTACCAGGTTTACATACAGAGTAAGAGACGGCAGTCAGTGGAAAGAGCTTTCCATCTGTTTGCCGCCAGGAAAGAAATAGAACGCATGCCATATTGCGTAGAAACAGGCGGAAGAACTAATGCACGCTGTGCCTGGCCGCGCGTGCGAGCCTGGTGTGCAGGCACAGCAGCCCCAAACTGGAACAAGGATTGGAGAAGGTTGGTTGGTTGGTTGGTTTTTATTTCACTTCGCACATTCAAACGGGATGACGACCCACTAAAATGACGGCGAAGGCTTAGCCTAGAAGTGGCTATGGAAGAACATAGTAAAAGCTATGGAAGCACTTAGTAAGAGAATAGGATACTAATAACTGCGGGTAAACGGGGGGAGAGAGAGAATACGATGTATCTGTGATACTACGTGCGGGTTACTGAACTGCACGGGGAGGGAGAGCAGAGCGATCAGCAGCAACGCGAACTACTCCCTACAGGCGTATGGTACACATGCATGCTTAAACTCAGGTAGCCGGGTAATTGTGCGGACCTCACCAGGGAGAGCGAGAGGGGGACTAGCAAGATGTGGGGTCAAGCAGCGGTACACGAAAACATAGAGTTAAGATTTATGCGCTGTTCAAAAGAATAGAGATGATATTTGCAGAGAACAATTTCAGTAGACATCATACGGTCAAACCCAAAAACCTTCTTCATTGCTATGTGACTGACAGTCACGATCTTATTGAACAGGGTGGCGCTGAGACAGTGCAGATAAGCGTTACTTACTGGCATAGTCGAGAGTCGATTGCACAATGGATAAATGGAACGTCTTCTTCGCTTCAGGTGTTAGGTTTTTCGGCCATGTCTGAAGGCAGCAATCTTGCCGAACACCGCACCGCAGACCTTCTCGACTTGCGGCTGGAAGGTGATATGCTCGTCGATGAGTAGTCCGAGATAAATGTACTTCACGGGGGCTGCAGGTGTGACCGGTCTGTGTGTACGTGTACTGTGTGTTATTATTATTATTATTTAAATTTTGAATAGGGCAATCCCCACAGGCCTAAGGCCTTTTTACAGGGTACCCTATGTGGTCACGTACAGATTTGCGGAATAGGGAAAGCGAGGAGCAAGAGCGAATGTCAGCTGGAAGAGAATTCCAGCGGTCGGAAGCCAGAAAGCTCAAAGCGAATAAGCCATAACGAGTGCGTGCTTAACGCAGAGCAAGTGAATCTATGGACTGGGAACGTGTACGGGCAGCTGTGTGTGTGTTGTGGCAGAACGAAGGCAGAAACAATCAGAGAGCAGAGTGCTACACATGTACCCTAAAGTCAAATTTTCACCAGTTGTAGTCTTCTGGGTGCTGAGTCGAATGGTCTTGGTCCGAGGAAGCTGCGACGCTCCCTTCCTTCTTTTTCCCCAATCGAACCCGCGCACTTCCACCGAAACTGGGTGACTGCGCCCTACTAGATGGGGATTTGTATGCAAAATCTCACTAAAAGTGCTATGTCGTTTTTATAAAAGCACGGATGACCGCGATTGGCCCATATGTTGTAGTCTTTTGGACGCTGAGTCGACTGGTTTTGGTCCGAAAAGGCTGCGATGCAGCGTTCCTCCTTTATTCCCAATCGAACATGGTTGAAGAAGCGGTCACGTGCTCCTGGGTGCCCAAATCACCTGGTCACCACGCCAGCAGGCGACAACTAACTTTCACACCAAGGTTCAACTCGAGTTCAACTCGAGTGACAGGACTGCACCCAAAAAGGGTCAAACAGGCTAGTAGGCACGGTGACCAGGTGACTGGTGTACGCAGGAGCACGTGACCGCTTGTTCAACCATGTTCGATTGGGAATAAAGGAGGAACGCTGGATCGCAGCCTTTTCGGACCAAAACCAGTCGACTCAGCGTCCAAAAGACTACAAGATATGGGCCAATCGCGGTCATCCGTGCTTTTATAAGAACGAAATGGCGCTTTTAGTGACATTTTGCATACAAATCCCCATCTAGTAGGGCGCAGTCACCCAGTTTCGGTGGAAGTACGCGAGTTCGATTGGGAATAAAGGAGGAAGGGAGCGTCTCAGCTTCCTCGGACCAAGACCATTCGACTCAGCACCCCGAAGACTACAACTACAACATATCTGGTGTGTAAGACTGAAACATCATAGTGCCAAGGGAAACCAAAAAATAATTTTGCTTGACGAAAAAATGACCAAGGAGAACGGAGCCAAGCGTCTCGATGGCTGTGTAACACCAGGGACCAAAACCTACTGTAGCGGCGCGTTTTGGAGAGAGAGACTGAAGTGGGTGCACAGACTCTGGTAAGTGGATCCACTTCTAATTCTCAAGTGGCGAAATATATTGCTACGCTGAAAACATTGCAGTCTTGAGTGAGTGGTAAATCGTTGGTGAGCTACTGCTCTGTGACTTGGGCTATTTACGAAAGCTGTGACCTGTCAGCTGCCAACGTCGCCAGCAGTAAGTCATCACCTGCGTCCACTTGAATAATATAATGTGCATAAAATGCAGCACTGAAAATTGAGTATGTTGTTTTGCAGTACTATTCTGTCAGAGTGTGAAGTATTTTGTAAATGTTGTGTTGTACAGCACCAGTGATTTGAAATTTTTCTACACTACTCGCACCAGTTCTATTATGATGAATGCATGCACCTGTACCCATAAACACCATGTGCATGCACATACGCAGGCACGCGTGTGAGCCTACATATTGTGTGTGTGCGCTCGCGCGCAGTGCATGTTGTGTGTGTGCGTGCGCGCACGCGTGCACAAGTGCATGGACAGCAGAATATGGTAACTAAGCTCAATACAAGAGCACGCATTTTACATGTGGGTGTATGCTATCGCGGGTGCGCGTATATGACGTGCATGTATTTGTGTGTGCAAGGGGTACTTGTTTGTGAGTGTATGTGCATGTAAGCGTACATGTACATGTATCAATGTCGACAATGCGCATGCACCCACATACACTTGTGGTTGTTCCATGTTATTGGGAATAGTGTTATGATTATACCTAATGGGTGCTACAATTACTAGCAGTCGTTCATTGCCAATATTGAGTTGAACCTGCATCTACATTGTACATGTACTACAAACATGAAACTGTGAAGTTATTGGCCCAGAATATAATAATTGTTATCCTTCTCAAGCTCTTTGCCTGTTGCTTTATGAGAAATACTAGGAGTGAACTATTGCAAGAGTTGTGATGCAAAGCTGGTCTGAATTGCGTTCAGGGTCAGTAGGCCTCGGCCTGGATCATGAATAACGTTGTGCATGGATCATGCCGATA